GTGACAGCTGCAACACTTTGAAGTTACAAAATGTTGCAAATTTTTACTTGAATGAAAAGGGCGACATTCATAGGAACACTTTTATCACTATATATAATCGCCTATAATTTCAAAACTATTATATAGCCTCGACATTTTTGTATTAGAATTTTCCTCTTGAAATTATCTAAAGGATCAGTGATTGAAAGGAGATTCGGTGGTTCTAGTACACCCTGTGTATCAACAATGAATAATATTATCGCGTGGCATTGCACCTGGAATGGAGCAATTATTAGATACGAAGAAAAAAAGTACGGTACAGAAAATCGAACGTCGAGATCCGACAAAACGAAAGTGACGGTAAAAGCGATATAAAATAATAGAAACGACCCTCCGTTCCGCTTATAAGGTACTGTTTGTAGAGCAATTTCGCAATGCCGTATTTCCCCTTAAGTGCGATTTATAAAGCTCTCGATAGTAATATCACGGTGAATTTCTGGCGTGGCGGCGGGTTCGAAATTTGTTTGTTCGATCGTTTCCCCCCCACGAGGGATGTTATAGCGTGTAAACGTGCCCGTTCGCCAAGTTGGTTCCTTCTTCCCGCGCCGCGCGCGGCACGTGTTTTCATTTCGGTATCGCAGCCAGGGCCGCCTCTCATATCATTATTGTTTCAATACGCGCGGGAGGTAAGAACTTTGCGAGTTCCGTTGCGTTTCCGAGACTGCCGAACATCTCCGCCGTCTTTCCAGCTCCTCTCGCCGCAACAATGGCTGGCGGAGATTGTAGACGAGGCCGGCGGTATCGCGGACGCCGGTGAATTACAATCGCGAGTGAGCAAAAATTTCGAGGATCGATAGCCATCGCTCGATATGTATATTAACGCGGTGCATTTTATTCTGTGCATTTAACTGATATAGTGAGCATAAAATACCCAATATTTTTCTTGGTTGATAAAAAGAAATAAATATTATATAAAGTATAATAATTCTTGCATATTGCGTGGCGCAAAAAGGCACAAATTTTGCGAGTCCGGACTGCATGACGTGTTTAACGACACTGTAAATTTGCTTAACGTTTTAACGTAAAATGGTATGCATATGCGACAACTCAATTTTGCAAGGGTTGATTGTTTTGTCAGTAACGCAATTTACATTTCCGAGTAATAGTCTGTCAAACATTTTGATTAAAACCGAAAGTGGTGCATAAACAATAAAACGCAAGAGGAAATAAAATTAATTTAAGGAATTTAAAGGTAATAATATATACCGACTTGAAAATAGTTTATTTCGTACGTATTTTACATACAAATAACCAGGTATAGGCGAACGTTCGCACACAGAAATCGGACACAAGTATCTGAGGATATTTTTGCCTTCAACGGGTGGGATATATTTTTAATATTATTCTAATCCTTATATATAATGCAGAAATTAAGACAACGGTATTGCCAGCGGACAAGTTGCTATTCTCGCACAATATTGCGCAGTCTGCGAAGCCGCTAACTTGCTACCTAACATTTTAATCGCGTAATTGGCAAATTTCGCAAGAGTAAAAATCTGGAATCTCCTTGAACAAAGTTGGAAATACCGTGTAAAGCGGGCGGGTAAGTTGCCCGCGCCGCATAACCGTTCTGTATCCTTGAGAAATTCCTCAGTGGCTTATTTTAACAGATATGTACACGTATGAGAAAATTTCTCATCTCATGCAACCCCGTTGGAAATTACGTAACGGTGAGTTAACGTCATTTGGTCCCCGGCATATGTGTTTACTTTAATAATTATCATACGGAAGCCTGTTACTTGGCGGCATGTTTTCCATAATGAGATACGCGCCCCGCGAGTAAGATTGAGTAATACCTATATTAACAGTACCTATACACACAATAGCGCTATATATGCAAATCGCTTTGAATCGATCGTATATCTTTGCAAACTGGTTAGCTCGAGCTTATACACTCCCCGCGAAAGCTCTTTTTTACGCTAAGCGCCACGTGGTATCGCCGAAAACTAATTTATGCAACACTAATCTATGTTTCAAAGTTCCGCCCGGAAAAACGATAAGCCCAAGCGATTTACATACGTAAAAAGGTATTGTCGATTAATTTGACTCGCCGGTTATTACGCTCTTGCGAGTATTAATATCATAACGACAGTGTGTGCCTTCTGCTTATTTCTAAATCGGACAGCTACATTTATGTACAGCTTTTGGATACGCTAGAGACCGACTTTGCGTGCCGCGGAATTAAATAAAGCGCGCGTAATGCCTGTCGCGCGTGTCTAGACCTTTTTGAAACTTGACTTTTGCGCGGTATTCAAAATAAAGCGGCTTCGCTCGGGCGTGGGATCTCTTTGTCGCCGAGATCATACACGTGCGTGACCCTCCACGGCGTTGACATTGACGTCGCCCGTGATCGGTGCAGCGCGAAATGTCATAAAGTCATATTAAGGGCTGTCCGGTGCGTTCTCCCGCCAGGCCAGTATCGTGTTCATGTCGGTAATGCCACGCGTGCTCCACGGCTCGAGCGGATCCGAGGACGACGTCGGCGGTGAGGCCGCCTTATTCCGCTCAATCGATTCCCTTCTCCTCGCCGGCTCTTCAATTTCCTTGGGCGATACCCTGCGCATGCATCGTAAAAATGCACCGACCGATTAGGGAGGCAGTCAATCGGCCACGGTTTTCTTTACGGGATACCGTCCGGGATCTTTTTAACATAATCTTTTCTTCTTCGGCCCCGAACGGCTCTCCGGGCGCGATTCTTCTTTAACAAGTTTGCCGAACGCATCGTCATTGATTGTCGCGCCTAGTGCACTTTTTATTATTGCAACAAATCGCTCCCGAGCGAAATTTACTTTAACAATGATGCTCTCGTATATTTTTATTATGTTATAAATACGACGTCTCTTTGTCAAAGAAAAATCGATCGGCAAAGAATCTGTAGTACAAACGGTGTGGAACACTGCGTAACTAACTGACGTGGGATAATTATTAGATGGAATTTAATTAATGTGTCATTTAAGTCGTGTCAATTGACGCGTCGTGTCAGCCGTTATGCACTCGGAAATGGTCCGCTGTCACGATTAGTTAACTTGCTCAACACTTGCCGGTTTATACGTTTGATTACAGAAAAAAAGAGATCGACGACTGCTCGGCGAATTTATCACTTTTTCCCCCAAAGATTAGATAAAATCATTCAAGAGGTGTAAGATTATTTTTAGTGATATTTTGGAACTCGTGAGATTCGCGTGTTCTTGCAGAATTGTCTTTTGCTAGGAAAAAATATGTTAGGTTTCCTTTAATTACGTTGAATTTGAAAGACTGTGAGGCGGAGCGTAGAACTTGACTCTCTCCTTGAGAATACAAGAATATTTCGGCCTTTAACTTGTTTATTTTCCGAATAGATGATTTATCGCGAAATTATTCCAAAAATACCGCAATTCATCGTTGACTCGGTTACCTGTTCTTGGCCGTTTTCGGCCGACGTTTTTGGATTTTATCGGGCGGTTTGGTGGGAATGCCACCGTTCTGCTTGACCTCCTGCTTAATTGTTTCAACAGCGGTGTTTCGTCCTTCGGTCTCGTCACGATTCGCCGGTCTCTCTTCCGGATCATTCAGCAGCGGTCGATATCGCTGACTCCGCTCGACGGACGTCGTAGACGAGGAACTGTCGTCGTCGTCGACGCGACGCGGCCGTTTCGACGTGGCGTTGTATCTGTTGTTCGCGGATTTTATCCTTCGAAGGCGAGCCTCGGTGCCGAGCAGGTGACTTCCTGTAAAAACAATGAGCGCAGATTCGTCAATTCGTAAGAATGCGAGATGAATTTTTGAACCTCGATAATTTCGTGCTCACCGCCGAGGTCATTGTCGCTGGACTCAATGAAATATTGCTTCTTAACGATGGTAGATTTCTCAGCGGTCGGCGGGGCGACCATGGCGAAATGTGCTAGAATTTGCGGGTCGATCGTGGTTTTCATTGAAGCTTCGCTTGTGGCCAGGGCGGACTTGGCCATTTGCAGTAGAGTTTTGTAATCTGCTGCAGACTCGGAAGCGATAGCGAGCTCCAGAAACGGATCTTCCGCGGCCTCTTTCAGCGCTTTTGTTTCTACATTCAATATACTATTTAATCTCTCTTGGTATAAAATCGCGCGGTTTCGTGTACTCCAGAAAAATAACTCTCGGAGCATATTTTCGCTCTTGGTCACGGAATATTTTTAATAGACCAAAGTTATTAATTATCGACGATCAATTAGGAAGAATTTGCGTATACTTACGATTCGTATTTTTCACGTTCATTGCCTCCACGTCTTTCGCAGGATCGATAGACTTGTCGACTAAATCCGTGAGACCTGATAATTTAGTTTGCTCCTCAATTGGTTGTTTATGTGGTTGCACACTCGCCACCGCTGCTGGGTTATCTGGGGTTGTTTTCGTCTGCTGCTCGTTGAGAGCGGCTTTCGACTGTGTCGTCGTCTTTATCTGCTTCGCGTCGATATTTGTAGGTATGCCCTCCGTCGCGGTGGATAAGTCAAAGTCATGTGCAAAGGCCATTACGTCCAAAGCTGCGGTTAACGCATCACCAAAACCTGCAGTAACTGCCGACACTTGCGGTTGGTCGGCATTGGGACTGTAATGCACGTGAAATTAACGCGTGGCCACAATGTTCCGCAGACAGATTGATGTACCATATAAAATGTTACGTTCAAACGAGCCATTATCAGAATAATTACATCAATAATACTTGAGTTCTGTATAATAAGCAGACTTGCCACAATTAAAAATAATAGTTTTGCCAAGTAATTAATAAGCAGACGTGCGGCAATTAAAGTTACATATTGACGTTACAATCGTGTGAACGTAATAAATCTTTCAAATATTATCGCCCATCCATCGGTTCGTAGAAAGATATGTGCAACCAGCGAAGTTGAGTTAGTAAATTAAATTAATAGAGAAAAAACAAAATGTTTGAAGTTGCGCGCGCTCTTGAAATCATCGGTTAGATTACGAGATGTTGAATCACTGACGCCTCTGCGAAATCTCTGATTCTTTGTGTTAGATGTACGACCTGTTCGTCTTACATCCTGCTACGTAGGTATTATGTAACACATCGCGCGTCGAGCCTCATAAATATTTAATAGACTCGAGATACGGTCACGTTCGCGTCGCTTATGCGTTCGTTACGAGGCACAGCCAATCCGTGAAGGACTATGTTTCTAGACACTTGTGAGTTGCTACGTCCGGATTGCAACTCGACAGAATTACGAGGTGATAAAAAGTATCGTTCGCGTACTGTCTTTCAGGCGGTGAGTCACTCCCCGCAAGGGCGATTGTAAATCTATGCGTTGCAAGTCGTTGCAAGAGCGTCAGGACGCAACGTCAGCGAGCGATTGAAACGGATTCGCCTTATTTTTTTCCTCCTTATCGTATATGCGCGTGTAAAACAATTAAATAAAGAATAATAAAAAACTAATCAATTAAATAATTGATTAAGTAACTGCTTGAAATTTTTATCACAGTTATATAAACGAACATTATAATACAAATATGATAAAAATGTATATTATTTTGACAAAAATAAAAGCTTATCGTCGCCAGTAAATAATTAACAGGTTGAAGAAATTGGACGGTTCAGCTGGCGGATAATTCGTTAAATTAAACGTTGGATTAATTTAATTTAATAATGTGCCGGTTGTGTACGGTAATTTTTTAAATTTACGAATATATAATACGTATATTGCAGTAAAATTAAAATGGAACAGGAAATATCTATCGTTATCAATTTTTGTCTCATAATAACTGCCTGATATTTAATAAGTGCATTGTAATTTATATTATTTTGACAAAAATTAAAGCTTATCGTCGCCAGTAAATAATTAACAGGCTGAAGAAATTGGACGGTTCAGCTGGCGGATAATTCATTAAATTAAACATTGGATTAATTTAATTTGATACTGTGCCAGTTGTGTACGATAATTTTTTCAACTTGCAGTAAAATTAAAATGGGACACGAAATATCTATCGTTATAAATTTTTGTCCTATAACAACTGCCTGATATTTAATAAGTGCGTTGTAATTTATAATAATATAATAGTAAGCTGAGCATAAAGGCGAGGAATTGTAAGACAACAGGAGTATTTTGAAATTATACTGAAAGGATAGTAAAACAATGAATAGCTCCGGAGAAATGCGGTATGATGAGACGCGATGAAAATATCATTACCTGACTCGTACAGGAGTAGAGAAGGACGCGCGGCCCCACATTATACGACGGAGTTCCTCGCCAGTCATACCTCGTTTTCTCAATTCGTGTATCGTGACTTTTCCGACTCGCTGCAAAAATATATGGAGCGAAGTGGTATTACAACGATACTTTCGTAGGTGAAATTGAAAAGTTGAGAAATCATTTCGATTAATCGCACGCAAGCGCTACACATCTACTTCTCTTAATTAATAGCGTCGTTGGCGCCGTTTGAATTCGTTCGTTGGCCTAGGAAGGAAAAAGTGATTGAACGAATTATTAATGCCATTAATTTACAATCCACTTTTAAGTAAATATTTGGCTGTGTGCCGTTCTGATGAAATTTACTACACCGTAGCAAAATTCGCTGCGTGCATTTTACGAGAGTCGATACCAGAACTCGTATCAGGCGAATGGGACGCCGATAAATAAATTCTGACGCTTGATGCACACTGGTGCGGAATAAATCTTTGGATATACATTGCCGGCGGCGCGCGCGCATACGCATGGAAAAAGAATAAATATAAGTAAATAAATCACCTTCCAATTAGCCACGGCGCCCTTACGCTGCTTCGCTTTGGTTTTCGATTTGCTTTTAATAACCAGCACGCCCCTCTGTTCCGACACGGGATTGTTCGGGTCGTCGCCGGGTCCCAGCTTGATGCTGTACTCCTGCAGGTAATTATGGGCGTCTTTCTGGGATACGGCGCGTTCCAAGGAGACGACGATTTTTGCCCACTTGATAGGAAATTAATGCAAAGGGGTATTTAATCGAGCAAATATCAGAGCGATCGAGCAATCAAGTGTTATTTGTGGCATTTATTTACGTGATCTGTGCCACTGGAGCTACACAGATAATTTCACTAATCATGGAGTGTACAGGACAGTCAGCTCTATTTCCGAACACATCTATTTCCGTATTTGCTAAACATTAACGGCAGTTTTTGTCGAATTTGGTGTCATGAGTTGGTCTAATTTAACAATCAAGTAATTTAACATATTGGAAAATTATCTCAGCGTTTCCCGACACGTGGAAACATAATCCGCGTAAGCAACGAATCGTGGAAGTTGAATGCCAAACTTAAGAAAGTGGGTGAATGACTTCGATACCAACCTGCTTGACGAATTCCTTCTCGCTCTGCTCGATAACGTGCGCGTATGTGTTGCCCATCATGGCGATTAACATGTTGAGCAGCAGTATAGGCACGAGCACCATGAAAATCGCGAAGACGGCCTTGCTCAAATTGGGGTAGGTCGTGTTACTCAAATCCGCGTACTGCAACACACACGCACGCGCGATAAACGCGATTGAATGAACGCAAGGCCGGTAAATCGTCGCTGGTAAATCGTCGCGACAATTAAACGCGGGCGCTAATAAATAAGCGGCCAATGCCCGATGTTGCGTGCCCGCCGCGCGCGTCGGCGGAAGCGGCGTAGAATTTTCAAACGGAAACCCGTATTTTCCATCGTACTGCCCTTTTAATTCAGTGCAACGAGTTAATCGTTATACGAACTGCGAAACCGAGCAATGATTTTTACGGGACAGGCAGTATTTTATGCGCCCGGCCGCGCGCGTTCATGCAGACGCGCTCGCACGCGCGCGCGCGCGAACGTCGTGCTAAATCTTTAATTTCGTCAGGAAACCATATTGTAGTGTATTTTGCGCAACGCGGAATTGTCCGTGATTGAAATTCAAGATTCATAGCCGCGCGTCCTGATGCACCAACATCGGAACAACGTCCGGAATGATGTAAACGCGCGTTTAATCTTTGACTTTGATACACGGTAATTAAACTAATGTCTCGCAGTGCTCTACAACGTTTCAAATTTATATCCAGCACAAAGGATAATAAACGGATGAGATAAATAAATGCAAATTCACTCGGGGTGGGAGGGAGAGCGAGAAACATTATTTTTGCAAGTGTAGATAAAACAAACTGTAGGATGAGACTCGGAGCAAATGAAGAAAAAAACAAAGAGAGAAAGACTAGAGGATTATCTCGCACTTGCGTGCATGCGTGTGCAAGATAAGACTCCGCGGTAGGAACCGCCACGACGGGTGCCAATAAAAGGGTAATTTATAGGGAGCTTACGTTATAATCGCCAAGGGTTATCTGAAACAGCGCCATCCAGGTCGAAGGGTAGGAGTGATAGAGAGATGACTTCACCCCGGGGAATCCCTTGTAAAGAAAGTAAAACGATTGCGAGAATCCGAAGAGCATGACCGTGTAGATAATACCGAAGGTCAGCATGTCGCCCGTTATCATGCTGTACACCATTGTGACAAACGGACCAGTCAATCGAATCGCCCTGCAAGAGTGAGAAATTACGCGTAATGCAATAAGGGAAGTAAACTTGGCGGGAGGGGAAAGGTCTCGGCGAGACTTGGTAACAAAATTTTACGACAAACGGCGGACGATCGAGTGCCAAGGGAAACCAACGTCCCTTTATTTCGCCGCCGTGCAGTTTTTACCCTTCGAATTTGGTTGCACAGCACAGCTCCGCGTATTAGCGGTATCGAAACAAAATTATCTTTATGGCCGTTACGCGAATAAGCTGTCGTCGCGTTTCATTCAGTGGTAATCGCGCATCAAAGTCCGGGGGTAAATCAGTCTATTAACGTCATCGACATCGATTTCACTCGTGACTCAATACGCTTAATATTATGCATACAAAATCCATCGTAAAACATTTGCCGGCTATGATATATGTGGGACGCATAATAATCGCGTGTCCCTCTAATCCGAAATGATGAGTCTTTTCGCTCGCGCGCGCGCGCGCGCGCCATTCGGCATAGCCCGCGTACATTAAAATATCGCGAAATACCGCAAACAAATTGATACGCGCGTATCTTCTTTGCGATATATGTAATTAAGCTTAACGCCGATTAATGTAAAAGTGCCGTTTACGATTGTCGTCGCGCTCGCTTACGTGACCGTTGAATGTAGCGGGAAT